TTGAGACAGATCCTCTTTCTGTTGCTCAGGCTGGAGTGCAGTGGCACGATCTCGGCTCAATGCAACTTCCGCCTCCTGGGTTCAAGCAATTCTCCTGCTCCAGCCTCCCAAGTAGCTGGGATTACAGGCACCCGCCACCATGCCCGGCTGATTTCTTTGTATTTTTAGTACAGACAAAGTTTCACCACGTTGGCCAGGTTGGTTTCAAACTCCTGACCTCAAGTAATCCGCCTGCCTTGGCCTCCCAAAGTGCTAGGATTACAGGTGGGAGCCACCATGTCCAGCCTGAACACTTAAACTTAACTTTCATTGGCTACTTTGTAGATAACATTGACAGGTCACCATGGCAATGGTCACTTCAGTTATTTTTCAGGAACCTGGGCTAGCTCCTGCCCAGTTCAAATTGATGGAGACCACCAACCCTTCAACTGGGCCTGTGAAGGAGCCCTAGAGGGTCTTTTGATGCTTGAGGGCCAAAAACTCCACCCTCAGATCATGTTAATGCCTCTATTTTCTGTACATGTGTTCTATGACATGCCATGAACCCTGACTACACTTGTACACAATGAATGTTACTTCATTATCCCCACTGCCAATCCACCCCAATCCACCCCACACCTTAAACCACCCCACTTCCCTAGCCCACAAATATCCCTAAGGCTTATCTTTCGGGAGGCCAGTTTGAGACCTGTTCTCCCACCTCCTCGCTCAGTGGCCTTGCAAGTAAGTTTTTCTCTTTTGCAAAACCTGTGTCACAGTGATTGATTTACCACACATGGGCAGAATGGACCTAGACCTGGCCGGTAACATAGCCACATCAGGAGCTTCACTGTAAACATACAAAAAGGAGAAGATGGAACAGCAGGGCCCCTCATAAAGTATACAAAGAAAAGATTTCAGAAAACATACACAGGCCAGGTTTGCTTGAGAGACATTGAATGAAGGAGTCAGACTCAAAAAATGAAACAGGAAAGATTATAGTAAGGGAAAGAAAAGGGGAAGAGGGGAGCAGGAGGGAACCCAAGACATTTCAGTTTTTAAGTGCTTACGCTCTCGAAGGCTGCCAGTTCTCCTTTTGAAACATACCTTGCACTGGTCCCTTCTCCCCAGCTCCCCTGCCTTCTGTACGGGAACTCCTGTGACTCTCTGTTGCAGTCCACTCTCAGCACTGCAGCTACAGCAATTATAACCCAAAACCACAGCAATGGGCAGCATTGGTCTACACAAAATCAGGCTATGACAGAGGGATCTGCTGCTAAAATTTCACTGCCTTTGCTACAGCCAATTTTTTCCCCCAGGTTCTGCACTTGATCAAGCCAATCTGTCAGTCTAACCAGCGCCCTGAAAGAGCTCAATTACTTCTCTTGGGCAAACACTTTTCCCAAAGAGATCTTATCTATCCTGGTTTACTTAAGTATGGTTCTTTTTTATTCTTATTTTTATTTATTTATTTATCTGAGACAGTCTCACTCTTTCGCCCAGGCTAGAGTGCAATGGCACAATCTCGGCCCACCACAATCTCTGCCTCCGGGATTCAAGTGGTTCTCCTGCCTCAGCCTCCCAATTAGCTGAGATTACAGGCATACGCCACCACGCTCAGCTAATTATCTTTTTTTTTTTTTAAAGACAGAGTCTTGCTCTGTCACCCAGGCCAGAGTACAGTGGTGCAATTGCGGCTCACTGCAGGCTCCGCCTCCTGGGTTTACGCCATTCTCCTGCCTCAGCCTCCCGAGCAGCTGAAACTACAGGCGCCCGCCACCACACCTAATTTCTTTTTGTATTTTTAGTAGAGACGGGGTTTCACTGTGTTAGCCAGGATGGTCTCGATCTCCTGACCTCATGATCTGCCCGCCTCAGCCTCCCAAAAGTGCTGGGATTACAGGCGTGAGCCACCGCGCCTGGCCTTTTTTTTTTTTGAGGGACTTTCGCTCTTGTTGCCGAGGCTGGAGTGCAATGGCGTAATCTTGGCTCACTGCAACCTCTGACTCCTGGGTCCAAGCAGTTCTCCTGCCTCAGCCTCGCGAGTAGCTGGGATTACAGGCATGCGCCACCATGCCCGGCTAATTTCGTATTTTTAGTAGAGACAGGGTTTCTCCATGCTGGTCAGGCTGGTCTCGAACTCCTGACCTCAGGTGACTCGCCCACCTCGGCCTCCCAAAGTGGTGGGATTACAGGTATGAGCCACCTGTGCCTCGCTGCACAGCTAATTTTTGTAGAGACAGGGTTTCACCAGGTTGGCCAGGCTGGTCTCGAACTCCTAACCTCAGGTGATTCGCCCGCCTCAGTCTCCCAAAGTGCTGGGTTTACAGGCATGAGCCACTGCGCCCTGCCTGATTCTTTCACTTGGTCACTTGTTTGTGATTTTTTTTTTCTTTCTTTCTTTTTCTTTGAAGCTGAAGGCCACAGTAGCTAAAGGCCAGGACATTGAACACTAAAACTTAACCTTCACTGGCTACTTTTGTAGATAACATTCGCAGCTCACCACTAATAAAGTTGCAGTCAACTAACAGGTATGAAGTTACCACTATAGTACATGGTTATATTAGGGACTGTTTCTGCCTACTGGATTCTGGGGAGGAACAAGGGAGGAATGTAACAGCACAAGCCATAATGAAGTTTATATACACGCTTAAAATAAAAGAAAACCCTAGAATGAACTCAACAGAATTATGGTGTTCTGAGCTAATACTACCTGGCTTTAGAGGGAAATACTCTTCCAAAAGTCATTCGAATCCATAAATATAAGAACTTTCTGGCCACGCATCTGAAAGAAGGAAAAAAAGGATATACATATTTTAAAATTCCATTTGGCTTACATCATCAGTTTTCTGGAAAGGAAAGGAAGCCTTTAAGGTCTCAGAGGGAGGGATGTTAGTATGAGTCAAAAGGTGGTATCATAGCTAATCTTGCATCAAACAGGGCATAGGATGGGGGAGATTTATAAAGCTAAAATCAAGCAGATTATTTTTAAAAAATATTTTCAATATAAATTGTCAATGAAGAGATAAAAACTTCAGAACTGAGGTACAGGAAGTACATCATAATTCTTTTGTTCATATTATTCTTCCTACTACCTAAAATGCCTGGCAAATGCCCACTAATCCTGAACCTTCTCCAATGTAAACAGAGTGAGTAGCTGTGTACTCTCAGTACTCTGCTCAAACCCCTCCTGTAATGTGACACCATATCACAGTGATCAGCTCACAGGGTGTCTGTCATTCCCTCTGCACTGTGAGCCCCTGAAAGCAGAAATTGGTGCTTTATAGTACCTTCAGTACCTAGCACAATGCCTGGTATACACACAAAGGTGGCTTGTCTTTTTTTATTTTGAGACAGCGTTTTGCTCTGTTGCCCAGGTTAGAGTGCAGTGGCGCAATCTCTGCTCACAGCAAGCTCCGCCTACCAGGTTCAAGCCATTCTCCTGCCTCAGCCTCCCGAGTAGCTGGGACTACACGTGCACACCGCCACGCCTGGCAAATATTTTGTATTTTTAGCAGAGACGGGTTTCACCATGTTAGCCAGGACAGTCTCGATCTCCTGACCTTGGGATCCACCCACCTTGGCCTCCCAAAGTGCTGGGATTACAGGCATGAGCCATCACGCCCGGCCTTGTCTTTTTTTTCTCTTTTTTTTTTTTTGAGATGGAGTCTCACTGTCGCCCAGGCTGGAGTGCAGTGGCGCCATCTCGGCTCACTGCAACCTCTGCCTCCTGGGTTCACACCATTCTCCTGCCTCAGCCTCTCAAGTAGCTGAGACTACAGGTGCCCACCACCAAGCCCAGCTAATTTTTTGTATTTTTAGTAGAGATGGGGCTTCACCATGTTAGCCAGGATGGTCTCGATCTCCTGACCTCGTGATCCACCCGCCTCGGCCTCCCAAAGTGCTGGGATTACAGGCGTGAGCCACCGTGCCCGGCTGTATTTTTAGTGGAGATGAGGTCTCGAACTCCTGACCTCAGGTGATCTACCTGCCTCGGCCTCCCAAAGTGCTGGGATTATAGGTGTGAGCCACCGCACCAGGCCTGATAAATTTTTGAATTAAGAAATGCATGTCTTTAATATACCTAACCAAGAGTAGCAGAAGGGTTACAGCTCCTCTAGAATTCACCAGAAAATCCAGGGGGAAAAAAAAAGAGTAGCAAAAAAGAGTAGTTCCTTCTTTCTTGGACCACGTTTACACGTTTAGGCTTTTTCTGGAAGAATCTTGATAGCGTCATATTGCGAGGCACAAGTGGAGAAATGAAAACACTCAGTGACAGATTTTATGTCTGCAGATTCCTGAATATCCTTTTCATCTGAACATTCTACTATAAAGAAGAGGCATCAAGATCTCCAACTAATTGTAATGGGAGAATAACAATCATTCCCTCATTTTAACCAAGAAGGCAGAACAAGAGAAAAGTATCCGTAGACTGGTGGCCACTCAAAAGCTCACCTGATGCGCAGTTCTCTTAACCGGCCCTGTCGGGTACAAGAATGTGTGCCACGATACTGCACTAGGTGACTGGTACTAGGTAACTCCCTCCGGATCCCAAAGGATGCAGAAGACTTCTTGTTGGACAGTGTCTTTGCAGAATAAGGTTTCTTAACTGCACCATCCCTAAAATACCTTAAATGTGAGGAGGAAGGAGGCAAGGAGAGAATAAAGTTATCTCTGCATGTGATGCAAATACTTTTAACATACAAGCAAAATTAAACAGATAAGCTCATCAAGACTGATAATACCTATGCTTCAAAGATAATAAGCAGCCCAATCTGACAGAAATATTGGCCAGCCACTGGAGGTGGGTACTGCTGGGTCAGCTCTAGGCAGGAACTACAGAGCTGAGGGATACCCCCTGGAGTCATCAGGCCTAACACAGTTTTCTTTTGTTTGAGACAGGTTCTCACTCTGCTGCCCAGGCTGGAATGCTGTGGCATGACCACAGCTCACTGCAGCCTTGACCTCCCAGGCTCAAGCGATCCTCTCATTTCAGCCTCCCAAGCAACTAGGCAACTAGGACCACAGGTGCTCACCAGTGTGTCCTGATAATTTTTTTTTTTTTTTTTTAAGAGACAAGGTCTCACTGTGTTGCCCAGGCTGGTCTTGAACTCCCGGGCTCAAGGAATCCTCCCACCACATCCTCCTGAGTAGCTGAGACTACAGGCGTGCCCCACCATGGTCGGCTAATTTTTTATTTTTATTATTTTTTTTTGAGACAAGGTCTTATTCTGTCGCCCAGGTTGGAGTGCAGTGGCGTGATCTCAGCTCACTGCAACCTCCACCTCCCGGGTTCAAGCGATTCTCCTGCCTCAGCCTCCCTAGTA